CTACCCTTCCCTATGAACCTAAGATGAATGGGCTGGATCAGGCCAACGTCTCATCCACTCCAGCATCCTGTTCCCTCAATTGCCAGCCAGATGCCCCTGGGAAGCCTGCAATATCCTATGAGCGCAGCAGTACTCTGCCCACCTGCAGTTGCATTCAACTCGTAGCAGATGATAGATTTGTCCTCCATGAATTTATCTAATCCTCTATTAGAACCACCCAAGTAGGTGACCATCACTGATTTGACCCTCTTAACTTTGCTTTTCCACCTTTCGCCATCCCGTGATTTTTGGTTGTTTCATCTTTTGAAATCAAATTTGACTGTGTTGGATTTTTTTGGCAATTGGCCATTCACATGTATGTTTAGTTTAATAGCACTGTGGGCACTGCTCCCTCCTGGCTTGACAACACATCTTCTAACAGGTCCTGAATGCCCAGAACTAACAATCCTGTCTTCAACTCTCATTCCAGATCCCATACCTGCAGAGCTTGATGCTCTCCAAGACTCTGTGAATCAAGACCGTCTTCTAGGCGGTCTCTTAGGACTTTTTAGACCCTAGTAGGATCTGGATGTCAACAATAACACATTTGTATGCTGAATGATGATACCAATAAAGTAGAGATTTTAGTCGCAACAACTTTGTGTGGTAAATGCGTGCCTTTATTCTTTCATCCTTCATGTACCATATGCAAAATATGAATGTGGCTCCATGTCAGAACACTCCAACCAACACAAGTGTTAGGACTCATCATGCTATTAGATCTTGAAGGATCAGCTCCAGTCACTAAGGATCACATGTTGAACTACATTTCCACGTTTAATTATTTAATAACGTATTTCTAATCCCCACCTTCACAGATGTACATCAAAGCAGTAGTAGCACCTGATCTCTTTTTCTGACTGGGCCCGTGCCATTCAGCAGATTTCCCTAGTTGCACACAAGCCTCTCTAGAGTCCTACGAAGACGATTGCTCAGCCAAAGTGGGTGCTGCCTTTTCACATTTTGATTGTGTGTGCAAACCTCGTCCACTAAAAACATGGGACTCATTTCACCATATTTTTCCAGGTGTGGCACAGTGGTGAAAAATAATGTGTCTCTTCTTTACATGCATAACCATACTCAACCCTTCTGAGGTACCATTTCTGGAATATTCTCTAAAGCCTCACCATATGCTGTTTCTGGTCCTGTTTATTATTAAAACCAAGCACTGAGATTGACTAGATGAGAATCAAATTTGGTTAGATGATACAGCAACTGAAGGCTAATGGAGTAAATGGGTCTCGAACTCAGTGTCTTTATCCTCAACGCAGCCTCACCTAAATACATGGTGACTTGTTGAAGGCATTAAAAAGAAATAGATTTAGCCAGAGGAAAACTGAAGGGTGGAGTGTGTCTAGCGGGAAAGCTAAATGGCGCCATTGTCTTTCAGTCTCCTCCTCGTTGTCCAGTGGTAGTGGGGCAGAGGCATATGATAGAACCCAGCGCCCGAGTGCTGTGGGGAGGCTGACTAAGTGAGGCCACAAAAAAACTTCCTCCCTGACATCAGGTGCCAGCAGGGAAGGAGGGAGCTGTCTGGCCTTAGAGACACCTGGAGGGGAGGGTTGTCATTCTCTGCCTGGGTACCACAGCCAGCTCAGGGAGGGAAGGGTGAGGGAGCGAATCACTCCTTGGGCTCACAGTGGGACATTCAGGGAGAAGGCCAGAGACTATGAAATGGATGAAACTTAAGTTTCAGGGCCCCTGTAGTAATGCTCCGGCCACTCGCCCCTCCCTCACCTGTCCTTACCATCTAGCTGGATCAGGTTTAGAGGAACGGCGGCCAGAGGCATATACCTTTTTACGGGACAAAATGCACCAAAAAAGGATAGTTGCTGCCACCAGTCCCTTGTATCAGGGCACCAGAAGGTCTAACCCAAGGGAGAAGGTTATCCTTCCTAGTTACCGGCTGCCCCACCCTGCAAGTTGTTTCTGCAAACTGCAGGCAGAAATTCAACAGATACAGTAGCGGCTGATTGGTCAGGCCCTGGACTCAGGCTTTCCCTCAGAATGGCACACAAGACAAAAGAAAGTTCCCTTTTAAAAATTTATTTAAAAACAAGATTAAACATACTTAAAAAGTAGGGACATCTCTTATACGTTTCAAAGAGGAAAACAATAACATGGTAGAGTATAGCTAGCTAACATACTTAGAAATGAGAAGAAAGGCAAAGTTAGAATGATTTCCAAGTCCTCAGTGGAATCCGCATCTCAAAGACAGAAGACACACATGTCAATGCCGGAGGAGGACTGTCAGGGTGGCAACTGACAGATGGGCGGATTGCAGAGCACGCCCAGGGCTTCTTTCTTAGGGTCTTTATTTCTAAAACTCACACGGAAACGGAACTCAGATCCAATCATAGTTCTTGATTATGTTTAAATTCACCAATGGTCAGCTAGTTGACTAATAACTTGTGACAGCTGAGCTTGTTAATTCTCAGGCCCTTGGATCAAAGAGAGTCAGAGACTCACCAGATACACATTCCCAGAGTGATTAGGGTTGATAACTCATTCACACCCAGACAGCCTTGTTAAGTACCAGGTGCTAGAATACCACTAACCAACTTGGAGAAGTTTCTTCCTGCAGATGCCTAAGATAAGTATTCTCACTCCCATAGACAGCAAGTCTCCACTTAAAGCAACAAGAACGCATTCCCCATAAATCCTTTAGCCTTCTGGTCTTCCCACAATGCTTTGCTTCTGACTTGACCAAAGTTTGGTCTATTGAAATTTCCAAACTGCAGGAGGCAGTGGAAGACAGAAGTGCCTGGCGTGCTCTGGTCCATGGGGTCACGAAGAGTTGGACACGACTAAACGACTAAACAACAACAAACTTCACTACAGCCCCTAATCACAGAAGCACCTTTGGTCCACATTGCTTAATTTTTTGGGTCTATTAGACTCAATCTCAATCACACAACTCAAAAACTAAAAGACATACATTTTTCGGCTCCCGGTTCTGGTCTGCCTTAGTGGAGGCAACTCTCACGATAGCTAAATAGAGCTTAATTCGGACTAAAGTACTGGCGCGTGCTAGAAGAGATGAGATAATAAACTGTGGAACAGAACCACAGTTCTGAATAACACTAAAAGGACTTGGAATCAAATTTAATTGGAAGTATTATTTACTGTATTTTTCGCCCCATAGGACGCACCGGCCCATAGGACGCATCAAGTTTTTTTGGGGGGAAATAAAGAAAAAAAATTTTATTTCCCCCCCAGGCGCTTGTGGGGCCGGCAGCGGGGAGAAGCGCTCTTCTCCCTGCCGCCCGCCTTGAGATCAGGTCCGGGGACAGCAGGAAGACGCGCTGCGTCTCCCAGCTGTCCCCGGAGCTTGCGGTGCAGGCAGCGGGGAGAAGTGCTCTACTCCCCGCAGCCCGCCTTAAGATCAGGTCCGGGGACAGCAGGAAGACGTGCTGCGTCTCCCCACTGTCCCCGGAGCTTGCGGGGCTGGCGACGGGGTCTCCCCGCCGTCAGCCTCCAAACCACTTCGAGAGACAGCGGGATGGCGGCGTTCCGCCTCCCTCTGTCCCCCGACCTTGTGGGGCTGGCGCTGGGGCTCTCCTGAACCCTGGAGAGCGAGAGGGGTCGGTGCGCACCGACCCCTCTCGCGCTCCAGGCTTCAGCGAAAGCCTGCATTCGCCCCATAGGACGCACACACATTTCCCCTTCATTTTTGGAGGGGAAAAAGTGTGTCCTATATGGCGAAAAATACGGTAACTTTATTTATCTTCAGCTGGACAAAAGGATAAAATAAGTCTGCGAACTTGCCAAGGAACTGATAAGGTTCATTACTGAGCCATCTGCAGTTTAGCAGACCACACTTTTTCCCAGGCTGAGGGATGAAAACAGGTTATTTATTGGGACAGGGTGATTTTTGCAGCTGTTCTTAAAGTTGTAAAACAAGGAAGCAATGGATAAATTTCTGAAACTACAATGAGATATCATTTTTTGGGGGGGGGAATCTATACTGCACTGAAATGTTTATTTGATTGTTGTCCTTGACTCCTCTCCCCACACTTGTCATCCTCCCCTGCCAAACCAGTGTGATGTGCTACACCCTTTGAGAACCAGTGACCTGGAGTCTAGACCAGTGGTCCTCAAAGTGTTAGCTAGGCCAGGACCAAGCTGTTGGCTTTGGGTCACTTTCAGGTGGGTCACAATGTCACAGCCTGCCCAGGGCTTCCTCACTTGCGTGCCCCAGCCCCCACCCATGGCATAGCCTTTGGACAGGGCCAATGCCACCACCAGCAACTCCTTTCATGTCGAGGTTCAGAAGAAGACAGAGGGTCAGAGGAAGAAGGAAAAAGAAGGTCTGAGAGCTAAAGGCCAGAAGGGAATCTGAAAGTGAGATAATATTTATTAACCTTTGATATTAGTGATAAATAAACAGGGAATAGAAAGGAAGGGGATGAAAGAGGACAGCTGATCCAGGAGAAGAAAGGGAGTGTAAAAGAACCAGAAATGAGATGAAAGAAAGTGGCAGGTTTTGAGGAAGGGAATAAGGCACAAGTTGACTGTGGAAAGAAGAATGCGAGAAGAAATTACAGAACATGGGTAAAACAACTATGAAAAGCATGTGGTGGTAGGAAGGGAAAAGGGAAAGGCCTTCTCCACTTCGATCCTCAAATTCTGCTATGTCAGGTGGAAGGCCACATTCCCAGCTGGCAGTCTGTGAAGGAGTTTGAACGCTTTCACAAACACTTGGGTTGCTGTTGGCCCTAGTTTATCTAAGGGTCTCTCCTTGGAAGCGAGTCAGAGATTGAATTCAGTGGCAGTTAAAAACCAAGACTAAATCCTCTGAAAGGGCACATAGCCCATGGCACACTCCACACATCATCACATGCTGCCTTGTTTATTTGCACCGGGGGGGGGTGCTTTCACAGACAAAGGTTGCTTACTAGCTAATCTGTTCAAGGCTCCAAAACCGCATCAGCTCAGCCAACGCATTTGATTGGAAGGTTGTGCCTTTATAAGAAAGAGAAGTTGGATCCAGGTGAACCGTCAGTTTGTGACGTCCCTCCAAGAATCTTGAGAATCTTCCTCTCCTCTTTGGTGATCGTCATGAAATTCTGGGTCCTCCTTTTGGTTGTTTGGGTTGCTTTTGCCATGGTGTCCGCACGTAAGTAGTTGACATTCATTTATCCTTTTTACTGATGGAAGGGTTAGGAAAACGTATTTAATGGGAGAAATTGGCCCCCAAATGCTGATGAATTTCCTGAGGTTTAAGTAAACAGGGCAGTAGAATAACTTTAGCCAACCTAGGCTGCCAATGACTGGAAGGAGGTCTCACGCTTTCCTAATTTCTCCCTCTAGGACCATATGAAGGTGAAGAAGGAACCGGTGAGTATCTTGGCATTCAAAATGGGAACCACTATTGATCACCAAACTGTCTGCCTCCATTTCTATATCAAATATGACTGTGTTGGGTTTTTTTGGCAATTGGCCATTTACATGTATGTTTGGTTTAATAGCACTGTGGGCACTGCTCCCTCCTGGCTTGTCAACACATCTTCTAACAGGTCTTGAATGCCCAGAATTGCCACCCTTCTGGTCACATCCATGACCAACTGTTCTAGGGTACAATCATTTAGACTTTCTAGAAATGCCCTCTTTGATGTGCAAGACTTTCCTGTAAATAAACTAGGTAGGCAGGCTTGCTGTGACAGCACAGAGCTGCTAAGGGCACAGGACATCCATGGAGTCTGTGTCCCTGAAAGGAACTAACAATCCTGTCTTCAACTCTCATTCCAGATCCTATATCTGCAGAGCATGATCCTCTCCAAGACTCTGTGAATCAAGACCGTCTTCTTGGCGGTCTCTTAGGACTTTTTGGAGGCTAGTATGATCTGGATGTCAACAATAACACATTTGTATGCTGAATGATGATACCAATAAAGTAGACATTTTAGTTGCAACAACTTTGTGTGGGAAATGCGTGCCTTTATTCTTTCATCCTTCATGTACCATATGCAAAATATGAATGTGGCTCCATGTCAGAACACTCCAACCAACACAAGTGTCAGGACTCATCATGCTATTAGATCTTGAAGGATCAGCTCCAGTCAGTAAGGAACACATTTTGAACTACATTTCCACGTTTAATTATTTAATAACGCATTTCTAATCCCCACCTTCACAGATGTACATCAAAGCAGTAGCACCTCCTGATCTCTTTTTCTGACTGGGCCCGTGCCATTCAGCAGATTTCCCTAGTTGCACACAAGCCTCTCTAGAGTCCTACGAATACGATTGCTCAGCCAAAGTGGGTGCTGCCTTTTCACATTTTGATTGTGTGTGCAAACCTCGTCCACTAAAAACATGGGACTCATTTCACCATATTTTTCCAGGTGTGGCACAGTGGTGAAAAATAATGTGTCTCTTCTTTACATGCATAACCATACTCAACCCTTCTGAGGTACCATTTCTGGAATATTCTCTAAAGCCTCACCATATGCTGTTTCTGGTCCTGTTTATTATTAAAACCAAGCACTGAGATTGACTAGATGAGAATCAAATTTGGTTAGATGATACAGCAACTGAAGGCTAATGGAGTAAATGGGTCTCAAACTCAGTGTCTTTATCCTCAATGCAGCCTCACCTAAATACATGGTGACTTGTTGAAGGCATTAAAAAGAAATAGATTTAGCCAGGGGAAAACTGAAGGGTGGAGTGTGTCTAGCGGGAAAGCTAAATGGCGCCATTGTCTTTCAGTCTCCTCCTCGTTGTCCAGTGGTAGTGGGGCAGAGGCATATGATAGAACCCAGCGCCCGAGTGCTGTGGGGAGGCTGACTAAGTGAGGCCACAAAAAAACTTCCTCCCTGACATCAGGTGCCAGCAGGGAAGGAGGGAGCTGTCTGGCCTTAGAGACACCTGGAGGGGGAGGGTTGTCATTCTCTGCCTGGGTACCACAGCCAGCTCAGGGAGGGAAGGGTGAGGGAGCGAATCACTCCTTGGGCTCACAGTGGGACATTCAGGGAGAAGGCCAGAGACTATGAAATGGATGAAACTTAAGTTTCAGGGCCCCTGTAGTAATGCTCCGGCCACTCGCCCCTCCCTCACCTGTCTTACCATCTAGCTGGATCAGGTTTAGAGGAACGGCGGCCAGAGGCATATACCTTTTTACGGGACAAAATGCACCAAAAAAGGATAGTTGCTGCCACCAGTCCCTTGTATCAGGGCACCAGAAGGTCTAACCCAAGGGAGAAGGTTATCCTTCCTAGTTACCGGCTGCCCCACCCTGCAAGTTGTTTCCGCAAACTGCAGGCAGAAATTCAACAGATACAGTAGTGGCTGATTGGTCAGGCCCTGGACTCAGGCTTTCCCTGAGAATGGCACACAAGACAAAAGAAAGTTCCCTTTTAAAAATTTATTTAAAAACAAGATTAAACATACTTAAAAAGTAGGGACATCTCTTATACGTTTCAAAGAGGAAAACAATAACATGGTAGAGTATAGCTAGCTAACATACTTACAAATGAGAAGAAAGGCAAAGTTAGAATGATTTCCAAGTCCTCAGTGGAATCCGCATCTCAAAGACAGAAGACACACATGTCAATGCAGGAGGAGGACTGTCAGGATGGCAACTGACAGATGGGCGGATTGCAGAGCACGCCCAGGGCTTCTTTCTTAGGGTCTTTATTTCTAAAACTCACACGGAAACGGAACTCAGATCCAATCATAGTTCTTGATTATGTTTAAATTCACCAATGGTCAGCTAGTTGACTAATAACTTGTGACAGCTGAGCTTGTTAATTCTCAGGCCCTTGGATCAAAGAGAGTCAGAGACTCACCAGATACACATTCCCAGAGTGATTAGGGTTGATAACTCATACACACCCAGACAGCCTTGTTAGGTACCAGGTGCTAAAGGTAAAGGTAAAGGTACCCCTGCCCATACGGGCCAGTCTTGACAGACTCTAGTGTTGTGCGCCCATCTCACTCTAGAGCAGTGTTTCCCAACCTTGGGCCTCCAGCTGTTTTTGGACTACAACTCCCATCATCCCTAGCTAGCAAGACCAGTGGTCAGGGATGATGGGAATTGTAGTTCAAAAACAGCTGGAGGCCCAAGGTTGGGAAACACTGCTCTAGAGGCCGGGAGCCAGCGCTGTCCGGAGACACTTCCGGGTCACGTGGCCAGCATGACATCGCTGCTCTGGCAAGCCAGAGCCACACACAGAAACGCCGTTTACCTTCTCTCTAGTAAGCAGTCCCTATTTATCTACTTGCACCCGGGGGTGCTTTTGAACTGCTAGGTTGGCAGGCGCTGGGACCGAGCAACGGGAGCGCACCCCGCTGCGGGGATTCAAACCGCTGACCTTTCGATCGGCAAGTTCTAGGCGCTGAGGCTTTTACCCACAGCGCCACCCGCGTCCCTAGAATACCACTAATCAACTTGGAGAAGTTTCTTCCTGCAGATGCCTAAGATAAGGATTCTCACTCCCATAGACAGCAAGTCTCCACTTAAAGCAACAAGAACGCATTCCCCATAAATCCTTTGGCCTTCTGGTCTTCCCACAATGCTTTGCTTCTGACTTGACCAAAGTTTGGTCTATTGAAATTTCCAAACTGCGGGAGGCAGTGGAAGACAGAAGTGCCTGGCGTGCTCTGGTCCATGGGGTCACGAAGAGTCGGACACGACTAAACGACTAAACAACAACAAACTTCACTACAGCCCCTAATCACAGAAGCACCTTTGGTCCACATTGCTTAATTTTTTGGGTCTACTAGACTCAATCTGAGTCACACAACTCAAAAACTAAAAGACATACATTTTTTGGCTCCCGGTTCCGGTCTGCCTTAGTGGAGGCAACTCCCACGATAGCTAAATAGAGCTTAATTCGGACTAAAGTACTGGCGCGTGCTAGAAGAGATGAGATAATAAACTGTGGAACAGAACCACAGTTCTGAATAACACTAAAAGGACTTGGAATCTAATTTAATTGGAAGTATTATTTACCGTATTTTTCGCCCCATAGGACGCACCGGCCCATAGGACGCATCAAGTTTTTTTGGGGGGAAATAAAGAAAAAAAAATTTATTTCCCCCCCAGGCGCTTGTGGGGCCGGCAGCGGGGAGAAGCGCTCTTCTCCCTGCCGCCCGCCTTGAGATCAGGTCCGGGGACAGCAGGAAGACGTGCTGCGTCTCCCAGCTGTCCCCGGAGCTTGCGGTGCAGGCAGCGGGGAGAAGCGCTCTTCTCCCTGCCGCCCGCCTTCAGATCAGGTCCGGGGACAGCAGGAAGACGCGCTGTGTCTCCCCACTGTCCCCGGAGCTTGCGGGGCTGGCGACGGGGTCTCCCCGCCGTCAGCCTCCAAACCACTTCGAGAGACAGCGGGATGGCGGCGTTCCGCCTCCCTCTGTCCCCCGACCTTGTGGGGCTGGCGCTGGGGCTCTCCTGAACCCTGGAGAGCGAGAGGGGTCGGTGCGCACCGACCCCTCTCGCTCTCCAGGCTTCAGCGAAAGCCTGCATTCGCCCCATAGGACGCACACACATTTCCCCTTCATTTTTGGAGGGGAAAAAGTGCGTCCTATATGGCGAAAAATACGGTAACTTTTTTTATCTTCAGCTGGACGAAAGGATAAAATAAGTCTGCAAACTTGCCAAGGAACTGATAAGGTTCATTACTGAGCCATCTGCAGTTTAGCAGACCACACTTTTTCCCAGGCTGAGGGGTGAAAACAGGTTATTTATTGGGACAGGGTAATTTTTGCAGCTGTTCAATTTCTGAAACTACAATGAGATATCATTTTTTTTGGGGGGGGGAATCTATACTGCACTGAAATGTTTATTTGATTGTTGTCCTTGACTCCTCTCCCCACACTTGTCATCCTCCCCTGCCAAACCAGTGTGATGTGCTACACCCTTTGAGAACCAGTGACCTGGAGTCTAGACCAGTGGTCCTCAAAGTGTTAGCTAGGCCAGGACCAAGCTGTTGGCTTTGGGTCACTTTCAGGTGGGTCACAATGTCACAGCCTGCCCAGGGCTTCCACACTTGCATGCCCCAGCTCCCACCCATGCCATAGCCTTTGGACAGGGCCAATGCCACCACCAGCAACTCCTTTCATGTCGAGGTTCAGAAGAAGACAGAGGGTCAGAGGAAGAAGGAAAAAGAAGGTCTGAGAGCTAAAGGCCAGAAGGGAATCTGAGAGCAAGATAATATTTATTAACCTTTGATATTAGTGATAAATAAACAGGGAATAGAAAGAAAGGGGATGAAAGAGGACAGCTGATCTAGGAGAAGAAAGGGAATGTAAAAGAACCAGAAATGAGATGAAAGAAAGTGGCAGGTTTTGAGGAAGGGAATAAGGCACAAGTTGACTGTGGAAAGAAGAATGGGAGAAGAAATTACAGAACATGGGTAAAACAACTTTGAAAAGCATGTGGTGGTAGGAAGGGAAAAGGGAAAGGCCTTCTCCACTTTGATCCTCAAATTCTGCTATGTCAGGTGGAAGGCCACACTCCCAGCTGGCAGTCTGTGAAGGAGTTTGAACGCTTTCACAAACACTTAGGTTGCTGTTGGCCCTAGTTTATCTAAGGGTCTCTCCTTGGAAGCGAGTCAGAGATTGAATTCAGTGGCAGTTAAAAACCAAGACTTAATCCTCTGAAAGGGCACATAGCCCATGGCACACTCCACACATCATCACATGCTGTCTTGTTTATTTTTACCGGGGGTGGGGGGGTGGGCGTTCCACAGACAAAGATTACTTACTAGCTAATCCGTTCAAGGCTCCAAAGCCGCATCAGCTCAGCCAACGCATTTGATTGGAAGGTTGTGCCTTTATAAGAAAGAGAAGTTGGATCCAGGTGAACCGTCAGTTTGTGACGTCCCTCCAAGAATCTTGAGAATCTTCCTCTC